ACCACTTTTTCTAAACCATTACTTGATATTAATTTTCTTTAGGAAGATAGATCAAGTGAAACAGAAACTAAAGTGGAAATTTATTTTCAAGGAATTTTAAGAAATCTACGAAAATTACAGCACAATAAAAATTTCGTCATAACTTGGAACTTTCAACTAAAATTTTTCGTTTGTTTAGATGGACTTTGCAAAGAAAAAGGTATAAAAAATGACTCCATATCAAGCTCCTAGTTTGACCGTAAAAAATTGAAAACTTTATATTTTGAAGGGTTCTGAATTTGTTCTAAAATCCGAAGTTGCAAGTTAGACAAACCCCAATGCCTCATTTGGTATGAGGAAATGAATCAAATGCGAATGAAATGAAATAAGGAATAAAATAAAATAAGTGTGGGAATGGAAAACTCGTTTCTATTATCATGTTTGGGTGTGATTAGAAAATGAAGGGAGTGGGGGAATTTTTTTTGGTGTTGGAATATAGCCCGAATTCTTGCAGCGGGTTCACAAACAAAACTTAAGTCATCATTGTAATCAACAATATCCCTCCACAAAGATTTCCTCCATCTTTCTGCGTAGAGTCTAATTAGTTGATTTTCTAGAAAAGTTATACATCAGCTTTTCAAGAAAACAAAACAAGAAATGGGTTAAGTCCATTTCCTCCACAAAAAAAAGGTTTGAAATTAATTTTACTAAATGAGAGTCAAATCAACCAATATTTAGTTGGTACATCATCTTCTTTATTATTCTTTCTTATTTGCAAGGTTGAAGCAAACACTCAAAAGTAGAAAAATAAGATATAACATTTATTGCGATTATTAATATGTGAGTATAGTCCTATATTGGATAGGATAAAAAGGTGATAAGTTTAAAATAGAGTTAGGGCCAATACCTAGTAGCTATAGTCTTTGAGTTAAAATTAGTTCCTACCTCTAGTTTAAGGCCGATCAACTCTAGATTTAGCCCCATTTCTTCCCCAATAGTCTCCACATTTATAAGGATTCCACATTTATAAGGATTCCACTCTTACTAGAGTTTTTTTTTTAATATTAGTCCCTACATCATATGTATTTTGATATTAGTCCCTCAATCCTTCATATTTTGATATTAGTCAAAATCTTCATATTTTGATATTATTCCCTCCACTAGCATTAATACATTGATATTAATCCATATGGTTACTTGGGATTATAAATGCAAGAGAATATTCTGGTTTCTTTAACCATGAGCATTAGTGGACATTATGTCCCTGATCTAACAAAACCCTAAACCACTACTTACTAAACCCGAACCCATTAAGAAGCACATTTCACCCTTCTTTTTTCCCTAACGGTAAATTTGTAGAGACTAATATCAACATATTAATGCTATTTAAGGGACTAATATCAAAATATTAAGATTTGAGAGACTACTACCAAAATAACTATGATTTATGAGATTAATATCTAAAGAAACCATTTTCAGTAACCAAATAGCCCCTAAGCTTGAAACCTAGCCCCTAAGACTCTAGTCATACGGCGGTAAGCCGATGATGCGCATCCCACCTCTCTCACCTCCACCCTCATAAACCTCGATCAAGTTAGTCAGAATCCTTGGTTGCCGACCCCTCATCCAATTTGGCACCGGCTATCTCGTCCTTTGCGGACTGCTACTTCTCCTCCCATGATCTCTAGTAGCATTGCAGGTTTGTTTCACATCTCTCATTGGTCTACAATTTAAGGTTACAAAAAACTTATCCAATAAGTTGACAAAATCTTTCATCTACTGTTAGTGAATAGTGAATAGAAATAAGTATAATCAAGTTTGAGGTTTGGTTCAACGAGGATAAAATGACAGAAAACCGATTGAGTTAGTTGTTTGGTCATGTACACAATATACTAGTTAGGAGAAGCAATAGGATTATAGTTTAATGGGAGCAAAGAGTAACAAACCCATGTACTTGTTTAATGGATTTTTATTCTTTAAATATGGAGTTTAGAATTCTTCACTTGAGATTTTGCTATTTTGGTAACTACTTTTTAAAATGCCTAGAGTTTTGGATTGGGTCTACTGTGGGAACCGAATCAAGTCAAACCAGCTGCTGATGTTTATACTTATGGTTATTTAAAATCTTCTAATTTGAACCCAAAATCAAATTTCTTCCTCTAAATTTCAAATTTGAATATTCTTTGAATATCAACATTCCTTTATTTGATTAACGTTCTATAGTTTATAATATTAAACTATGTAATTAGCAAAATACTTTAACTTGGTTAGGGTCCAAGGGATACTATATTTTTACAAAAGAATCTGATTTTTACATAACATCGAAGTTCATACTGGAAATCATTTCTTTATAATATGGATAAATTTGTAATTTCAAATTTTTGTTAAAAAATTGATTTCAAAAATAATATAGAACCTAATTTTTAAAAAAATGTAAAGGAAGGCTAAAATGAACGTGTGTAATAACACAAGTCATAAGGGATTAAGTTCTAAAAAAATGCTGATAAACAAACAAATAAAGGGCAGTCTAGGAGGCTCCCACTATTGTAGGGTCTGGGGAGGGCAGATGTATGCAAACCTTGCCTCCACATGTGGAGAAGTTGTTTCCAAGACAAACCAAACTTCCAGATCACAAGGCAACAACCATACCGTTGTGGCAATGCTCACCCTCTTGATAAGCAAACTATTGAATTATGTAAATGCACATATTTTATCCAATTAGTAAAAATTGTTTGAGTTCCCTTAAATAAATTTTCAAATCAAATTTGAATGAATAACTACACGAATAATGAAGAGGTTTTTTAATTGAATGGAAGAAATAGAGAAAAATAGTTTATAAGTCTGATCATTACGCAGGGGGAATCTATCCCCTCACCCCCTAATTAGGACAATGCTACATTGAGCCTAAGCCCATGCCAGCTAGGCCACTATGTGTTCGTTTCATTTGAATTCGTAATTTGGTCTAGTCCACAAACAAATCAAATGTGTGAATGCTCATATTTGATTTGTTTTATATCCAAATAGTAGTAATTATTTGATTTATCTTAAATATTATTTTAAATTGAATTTGAATGTATAACTAGACAAATATCAAGAAGCCTAGTCACACAGTACGAGGTGCATAGTGGGTCGTGGTACAAATTCGGGTTCCCCATTCGCCACTTAGAAAATTCATATTCGAGTTGTAGCTTTCTTCGGCACGCATGTTCCAATTGATCATCATCTATTGACATATCATTTGAACTTTACCGCAATGGTGCTGAGCGTCGAAACTGCAGCTTGGGAACAGTGGATTGAAAGAGACATGCTTGTTTGGATTCTGAACATATTTTCCTTATATGTAATATAGTAACCTACGAGAAAATCATGGAGAAATAATTCAGATATTTGTTGTGAATTGTTAGAATAAGTTATCGGTTTTCTGGTTAGACCCATGTGGGTATTGAACCCGTATCCAATATACATTTTTTGCTTAAGCATCTACCTGTAGAATTTTCATCATTTCCCACTTTTTAAAGAAGTCTGCCCCCACTCACCTTTTGCCTTCATTACAATATCTAACCAAGAATTACTCTTTTCCTGTGGAACCTGCTGCATCAGGAGACCCTCAATTATCTGCATCTCAAAGGAACTTCAGCAAAAAGTTAGTGGTATTATGAGGTTTGGAAACTGAAACACGTGACAACAGGATAAATCATATTTACTGGTTATTGTCACTACTGAAAGGAGGTATGTTTGCAAGACTAATGTGTTGGAACTTCCTATTGTGGTTATATGTTCTAGGTAAATCTTGCTCATTCTCAAAATACGGTGAAGAAATTATGTTTAAACCATTTCAGTCTTATGATGTGAATGGGTTAGTTGCTATTTTCCACCAAGATGTAATCCTTGCAATGCACTTCGAAGTTGCATTTGAAGTTATGGAGACAATGGTGGGGATATTCCCCTTTTTGAGGCATGAGTTGTCTGTGCAAGAACTTGGATGGGACAACTGTAAGGAAGGAATATGTTTGAACTGATTAGATGATGGTCAAAGTGATATGTACTAGAAGAAAAAGGACAATGAAGAAGAAGACGTTCACTTCACATAATATTTGAGGCAACTGATGGTAAATAAACCATCCCGCTTCGAAACAAATAGTATTGTCTAAATTTTCATTCCAGGGATTAAAACACCTAATTTGTTGGTTATACAACAGCATGTGTCACACAGTCTTCATTGAAAATCCTACCATACTAATTGAAATATGATGATCCAGCATTGATTGATTGTTTATTGATGAATATGAATGATGACATGTTTGCATTCAGCTAGTGTTACCTACTGCATGATCAGTTTTCAGGTAAGGGTTAAATTATAGGAGAACTATTGAAGTATTATTTGTCTGATACAATTTTTAAATTAAGTCCCAAGTCTTGAAAGAATTGGGATAGGATCTTCATTAAGATTGGTAAGTGCCAGTTAGCTTTGAAAGCATAAGTTAAATGTAAATTTATCATTGATGAAAAAACCCTTCTAGACTTGGTAGTTTCTGATGCTTCATGATGCTCCAGTGGATGGAAAACTGGGACATTAGTTGGTGGCAGTTGTAGCTACTAGTTGGATTAATGCCTTCATCAAGTGAATCTTAACTCATGGAATCTATTATTTCAGATCATTTACTGTGCAGATACACCAGTTAAGCTTGTGCATTCCTGATTTGCATTCTAAGCACAAGATTATCTCTCAAATTCAAGCAGTTTCTGTAATCTTGTGGTGTACTGATCTATGTAACAAAGGTAACGGTCAGTACTTTTAATACGGTAGTGACTTCTCCACATTTGAGATGCTCCACATCTTTTATTATTTTATTTTAATTCCCCCCTAGTAGACAAATTATCTAATGCAAATAAAGGCAATTCCCGCCTTTACCAATTAACATGTGAAAGGTTCAAAGAATTTGAAGCAGATGACAAAATAAGCTCATTGGAAAAGGATTATGCTTTAGTAATAATAAGATTATGCATTGATGTATGTACAGCGGGATGAGCGTCACCATTAGTTCATCTAGGCAGTTCATTTTACATCAAACCCATTATTTTTGTCATCTAGTGTCATTGCTCCTGGCTGGCAATGACTCTTCTCAGCTTGCTTTGTCTGTTACAGTAGTTGAGCCACCAAAACTCCCGTCCCTTAGAACTGATGAATGGCGCTTCAACATCAAGGAACAACATTTTGGCAGCACTCTCCTATTGTGTGCAGCAAGTTCGTAGCTATGACTACCACCATTACCTCTGCCTCCTCCACCTCCCACCATCCATTCGAAGTGCTGCATTTGCCCTTCGCTCTTTTAATGTTGAAACTTCCAGGGCCATGGATGTTGCATCTGATCCTAAGATTGGCCTCATGCGCCTACTCTGGTGGCAGGATGCAATCGATAAGATCTTTGCCAACAAGCTAATAGAGCACCCCACAGCAATGGCCCTCTCTTCTGTTATTGCAAAACACAAGATCAGCAAAAGCTGGCTTAAAAGATCTGTTGAGGCTCGCATAAATGATGCAAGACGAGAAGAGACTTCCATCCTTGGCACAATTGGGGATCTAGAGAGGTACTCAGAAGACACACTGTCTACTATTCTTTACATGACTCTTCAGGCTGGAGGGATTCACTCTGCTGCAGCAGATCACGCTGCTTCTCATATCGGGAAGGCAACTGGGCTCTTGTTGCTGCTAAAATCTCTTCCTTATCATCTTAACCGAGCTGGGAGAATTACATATATTCCGGAAGAAGTTGCATCGAAGCATGGATTGTTGGTTGTTCGTGGTGACGGTAGCTCAGAGATCAAGATGGAATCTGATGAGGGGCTGTCACAAGTGGTGTTTGAGGTGGCATCTGTGGCCAATGCTCATTTGGAGAAAGCTCGGCGATTATATCCAACTGTTCCTTCCGAGGCTGTTCCTGCACTGCTTCCTGCAGTGCCAGCACAAGTTCTCTTGGATTCTCTTCGAAGGTATGATTTCAATGTGTTTGATTCAAGGTTGGCTAGAGGTATTCTTGGCATCTCTCCTTTGTGGTTTCAGATGAAGCTGCAATGGCACGCATGGAGAAATAAATATTGACTTCATCCTCATGTTGTTGTGTAGTTTCTCCACTATGTATCTGGATTTACTTCTCACCAGAATTAAGTTATCTGATGGTGTTGAGTAGGAAGATATATTTTGTCAAAGCTAATTATATCGTTTAAATTTATTAGTTTGGCAACTATGAGGAAGGGTGCAAAGGATTGTAAACTATTGTCACATAATTAATTAAATTGTGTCATATTGAAGAATTATCCTAGAGAATTGCTGAGGAACACGATGATCTCTTTAATAAAGGTCCCTTTTTGGTGTGTATTTGTTAGCATCTCAATGGTGGATGAAGGAAGGTATTCTGTGTATGTAATGTAATCTAGTCGATCAAAACTAACATTTGGCGATGCGGGATGAAGCAGTTGTATTAAAATTTGGCAACTTTCAGGAATGGTGAGAGCTCTGCTGTTTAAAAAAATTTGATGGCTAACTTCATCTTGATTCTCATGTAAATTCTCTTTGGAAGCGTTCGATGTGTTGTGCGCTGTGTTGTAATGCTTGTGTGCGTGTTTCTCTTGGATAGTCATATTTGTTTAGAATAGTTGCATTTTGCTCGCACACACCAATTGTCATGTCTCTAAATTGTACAATTTATTTTGAGATGCAAGACAACGACAACACATGAAAGTACACGCTAAGTCTTCTGTACACTTCCATGTTACAATTAAAAACTTTCAACAAAAATAACTTTGTTGACATATAGAAGTTTCAGAGCAAAATTTACATTGTAACAAATTCACTCTAGTAAGTTGAAAACTTTTATTACATAAGCAAAACAACATGTCTAAAAAAATTAAAAACTCAGCATCAAAACAGTCTCTACAAGATCTTTCTCATGCCCTAAACTCTAAGCTATAGATAAAGATGTCAGATGCTCATTTGAAAAAGATTGAAAATATTATGATGAGTTTACACTTAGTGAGCATATAACTTATTATTGGCAGAGCAAACAAGTTTAGAAAATTATCACTACTAACTTTAACTAAGCAACTATTAAGAATGATTTAACAAGCATATGCGATATTGTAAAGAAGAAGTTTTCATGTATTGGATAAGACAATAAGGAAAGCAAATTTAAGAAAAATAATATAAATTAAATACTTTTTAAACTGTAAATATCAACCTAAATTCACATTGACAAAACTTTCTATGTTGTCACACTAACATTATGAAAATTATAGCCCAATAGCATGTGAATGCGCATCAAATCATTATAGATCAACTCGGGGGATAGAATATACCGCGCTACTATAGGATGCCTTAAGCCCACTTTACTTTTGCCAAAAAGGCCATTTTAATATTGATGAGTACATTCGATACCATATGATATGTTTAAATGAATCACTTCACTCCTAGTGGATTTATGAGAAGTTTAAACATTTATAACAAATTCTTTTTAATCAAAATATCACTTGCAATTTTCACTTTTATGAAAAACAATATAAACGCTTCGACACTTTTGCAAACTTTTATCGTATCAATTTCACTCTTATAGCCTGCAAATAAGCTAAGTGTTAATCTTCCTTGAGAGGCCGACACATGTCTCATCTCACGCCTTATCAAACATATTCAGAGACGAGCGACTCGAGCTGCCCTTGTGGCCAACCCAATAGGCCAACAATTTGCGTAGCCGACTAAAAAAGCGGTACTTGTCAACCTACCCACCATATCAACTCTACATGCACCCGCACTCGACCTACTATTCCAACCGACAACTCGCATAACAGACTTAAAAGGCGGTGTTTGCCAGCCCTCAGCCACACGACTACAGAGGCGATATTTTCCTTGAACCCCAACTACCCTCTTCTTAAATGTATTGTCAGAGTCATCATTGCTTTGGCCTCCATAGTCTTTATGACTCATCAGACTTAGTCAGCACTAAGTACCTACTATGGTCCTTGCATTAAACGTCTGATGACTCACTCTCTCCAACAGCGAACACCTATAAGATATCTGCCGACTTATCTACCTTTTAAGACTCGGTCAATGTTATATATATGCCCTACCGATCTACTATAAAAGGAAGCTGCACTGTATGAGGCAACTTCTTCTGTTTTTAGCAACTTTGAATAACTCTCCACTACTTATCTTTTCCCATTCAAGCTCAAATTCCAGACTTGATCGTCATAGGAATAATCGGAGAACCTAAATCCGTCATCTCA